GGGGACGCGGGGGGAGCTGGGCGGCGAGCCCCGTGTCCTCCTCGTCCCCCGCGCCGCGGCGGGGAAGGGAGCAGCGCTGGCTCGCGGTCGCCCAGGGCTTGCTGCTGGTGTCTGCCCGCTCCACCTGGAGCCGTGGGAAGGGGGTGTCCGCAGCTCCGCACTGGCCACCCAGCGTTGGCAATTGGCTACCCCAGTGCCTGGGCGTCCCTGCTGTGTAGTGGGACCCTGCACTGCCATCCATGCGCACCTGCCCCTAGGCTGCCCCGGGGGCCGGGAATGCGGCTTTCGGGCTCACCCGGGTGGTTGCGCCCGTTCTCACCAGGCGGCCCTGGCTCCCGTCTTTATTCCGGGTGCTGTGTGAGACACTGATGTTGCTCACGGGAGGGCTGGAGTGTGCGCTAGGGTCCCTAGGTGTGCAAGATTCCCTGCCCTCCCTGTGTGCCACCCTTGTCCCTGGCTAGCAAAGGAGGAGGAGGGGTGTTCTCAAAGAGAATAGGTGAGTGTGTAATATCACTCTGCCTCTTGTGCCTTGGAGACCTTAGCAAAGGGAGTTATTTGATAGGGCTGGTATCTATGGTCATGTAACAAAGCAGATAGTCCTTTTTTATTTTTTATTTTTTATTTTTTATTTTTTATTTTTTATTTCCTTTAATCACCAGCCCTCCAAATTGGCTTGCCATCCTTCTTCCTAGTGTCTTTGGAACAGCCCTGCAGATGCCCCATCCTTGCGTGGGCCATAGCCTGTGCAAGTGCATTGCAGGAGCTGTTAACCTTCCCTCCCAACACCTGCACTGTTTTGGCTAATAGCTTTTCATTTTCTAATGTTTCTGAGAGTGCAGAAAGCCACTCTGCTCACAACCAACTCCAGGAGCACCCTGCTCAAATCAGAAATAGCAAAGCATTAAGGACTTCTAATGGCTGCAATTAGCTTGTATCTACCTAGGAAAGGCCTTTTGCATCTAGAACCTTTTAGCTGGGGTAATATGCTGTCTATACAGTATAGTATGTCCTTTCTGAGGGCTTCATCCAGCTAGCATGGGAGGAAGATAAACATGAGGGAAGAGAGACCCTGTTTGGCTCATAAGTATATTTTGTTGCACAGTCTATTTTTGTCTGTTCTTGTCTTCAGTAACCTTGGAAGGAACTGCAGCTACTCTATTTTCTGAGGATGTTGGCTTTGTTGATGAAAGAGCATTGCCATGAGGCTTTGCGCTGCTTGATTTTCTTCGCCTTCAACCAGAGCGTGGTTTCACTATCCTGAAATGTCCCAAAGTCATGAGGTGGGGGGCGGGGGGAGAGAAACAAGGGAAGGGGGAAATACTGTCGCCTTTGCTTTTTCTGCAGCGACTTTACTAAGCTTCTACAATATCTTTGATTTTTTTTAAGCTTTGTTTTACAAGAAAATGAGCGAGGAACTTGCCTTTTTTAATTTTTGATAAATGTACATGTAGAAAAAATATTCTTATGAAATCATGTGTATCAAGGAGCTAGAGCTTTAAGAAAACCCCGATAGCATAAGATCTGTGATAAAAGCCTGAGAGCTGGCAGACATGATGGTCTGTTTCTGTCCCTTGCTAATTTTGCTTTCCTTGAGCCAAAGGTAGCTAAAATACCTTGGATCATGTGTAGCCCTGTCAAGTTCTGCCAGCAACTCCTCTGCCTCCTTCACCTTGACCGCAGAGGTGCAACCTCAGTTAAGCTGGGAATATCATGCCACGATGCCCTGTCCCAGTTCCCTCAGTTAAGCTGGGAATATCATGCCACTATATGTCCCAGTTCTCACAGCCAGGGTGACACCATGTGTTGGGGACCCAAGACCTCAGCAGGTGGCACCTCCTC